AAAAAATGATCACGCATTTAACACAAAGCGTCTCCATCAGTTTAGTCACGAATCCAATGCACTCGTCCCTAGACATAATCTCAAACCGTTGACACAAAAGAATCATCCTCGGAAAAAACACCCAACAATTATTCGTGTTACATCAGAAAAAAAGTTGGAACGACACAAACATTTTCTGGAAAAACAGCTTCAAGAGCGTTGAATACCATATCCTCAAACAAAACAAAAACTCAACTTCTTGACCAATCAAAAACGAGAATGAATTCGGAAAGCACATTGACCCCAACCATTAATCGTCAAAATACGTCAAACCCCTCCTCCAAGATAATGTCCAAGGACCAATCCCTAAACAGCGCGCAACCGCAAATCGATGCCGTCGCTATTGTCCAAGAAACGATAGAAAACAAAGCAAAAAACATCCATCCATGCATACAGCCCCCCTGCTGTGACATCCATCCCAAGGAACCATCCTCCCAACGTTATATCTTCACGTGAACAGCCCCCCTGCTGAGACATGTCCAAAAACATAGGAGAAACAACAAAAATATCAATTGATGTGCACGCACTCTGTAATCATAGTCACACATGACATTCCCCCCCATGATTGCAGATGCAGAGACAGCAAGAAGAGACAAACGCCGCTGCAAAGAAAAAACAAAAAAATTGCTATCGATTAGCTCAGGAACGTTACTTGATGTTCATCACAGAATCACGGTGAAAGCAGAATGCCGCCCTGTGCAGTGGTTTGGTCATAAAATCGGCGTGCTGCAAAGCAGACGCAACGTGAACCACCTTAAACTGCTTGCGTGCCACCCGCTCCCGAATGAAATGGTGACGGATGTCTATGTGCTTAGAGTTGGGGGTGGTGACCTGGTTGTTGGCCAAGTGAAGGGCCCCCATGTTATCCTCGTGAACTCTAGTGCACCCGATGCGTTCATCTGGAAAGATAAAACTCCAGAGAGAGCGCAAGAAAATCGCTTCCTTGAAACCGTCGCCCATCGCAACATACTCGGCTTCAGTCGAAGAAAGTGTAACACCCTTCTGCGTTCGCGACAAAAACGAGACACAGGCACCCGCACACATCACAACCGCACCAGAAACCGACCGCCGGTCCGTCGCGTTGCTCGCGTAATCGGAGTCAACGAAGAGTTCCAACGAGACACCGTCCTCCGTCCCCCGCTGATACGTGATACCAAGCCCGACCGTGAACCTGACATACATGAGAACATGCAAAGGTGCACGCCAATGCACCATCTTGGGGGCGTGGGCATACCTCGCCACAGCTCGCACTGCCACATCAAGTGTCCTACCAAAGACCGAAAAGGCTCAAGAACATCAGGCTCTGCATCGTCAAAATCCTCAAGCTTCAAGCCTACTACCATGGGAGTCTCCTTGTTGCGTGTGACACCGAACTTCTCAACCAAGTTCCTCGCAAACGTCTCCTGGGACAACGTAGTCGTGCCACCCGCGCGGTCGCGAGAAAACCGAATACGCGCGTACAAACTCAGCTCTCCAAGGTTCTTAATCGGGACGAAAGCGTTCAAGTCTCTTCCAAACTGATCGCACCTACGCTTCGTCCCGATCGAGAAAATGTCGTCGACGTGCACCACAACTACCATTGCCACAACACCGTTCTCGATCAGACGCATGACACAAGTATCCGCAGCACACTGCTCAAACCCAAGGAGGAGCTCCATTGCTCGGAGCAAATGGTAATGCCACATGCGGGACGCTTGCTTCAAGCCATAAAGGCTACGGGCAAGCTTGACAACTTTCCCTGAGAGAGAGCAACCACAACCTTTCGGCAAACGAATGTACACATCCTCGTCCAGCTTGGATTGAACGAACGCCTGCTCAGCATCAAGGTGCACAAAATCCCAACCAAGATGACAAGCAATTGCGGCAAGAACGCGAACACTAGTAACAGACGGTCACGGCGAAAAAGTCTCCAAATAATCAACCCCTTCCCGCTGACTAAAACCTCTTGCTACCAGTCTGGCCTTTGCACGCGTCACATCACCGAACTCGTTGGACTTCCAAAGGTACACCCATTTGGCAGAAATGATGTTCGTCCCTGGCTGCTACGAGCCTGCCGCCGGCGAAAAAGTCTCCGCCCCTCGAGAAGTCCGGTGAACTCCGCGTCCTCAGCGCTGTACCAGATGTCGCTGTCTTCGCCTGAGTGCGCCTCCGCCCACGTCGTCGGTGTCACGCGCTTGCATGCAGGCCCATCCGGCAGCTCCGGACCCCCAAAGCACCGCTCATCGTCCATCCGCGCGTCGAAGTCTTCCGCCATTGCAAGCATCGCCAACACCCCTGGGGACCACGGCAGAGGCCCACCTTTAGCCAGGCGCCGCGCCGAGGCCCTCGTGACGGAGGGGGTAACTTGATGGCGCTGCTGCTGAGGCTGCATGTGCGGCGCTCGCGGGGGGGGACGCTGGGCTTGGTCGCTCCAGTTGGGGTCGATGACGAAGCTGCGGTCGGGCGCATCGCTGTCGCGGACCCAAGTATGCATGCCGCGGGCGTCGCCGTCTCCGTCTCCCCTGCGTCCGTCGAGGTGCCCGGGGCCATCGCGGCGACCGGGGACGACGCTGCTGCTGCCGCTGCTGCCGCCCCCCCCGCCGCCGACGCCGCCGCCACCGCCGCTGCGTCCGTCGAGGTGCCCGGGGCCATCGCGGCGACCGGGGACGACGCTGCTGCTGCCGCTGCTGCCGCCCCCCCCGCTACCGACGCCGCCGATGCCGCCGCCGCCACCGTTTCCACATCACCACCGCCGCCCCTGTTACCCCCGCCGCTGTGGCCGCCGCCACCCCCAACGCCTCCACCACCGGTGAGGCCGCCGCCGCCGCTGCCGCCGTTGTGACCGCCGTTGTGACCGCCACCGAAATGAACGGCACCCCAGCGGCCAGCGGCGCCGACGCGGGCAGTGCGGGCATCAACGAGGGGGGGAACACGGGTGGCCTGCGCGTAATTTCCATGCTTCGTCTTGAGGAATTTTATGCGGCCGTCTAGCATGCGAGAACCGGCGTCGAAGAGGGTGATCTCGAAGGCCTCTTGCATGACGTTAAACGACATCAGGTGGTAAGCAAGGCGAGGAACAACGGCAACGTCGTGCAGGGTGATACGAACGTCGCCGTGGTCTCCACGCAGCACTAGGTCTAGCGAACCGCACCCAATGACTTCAGCGGGGTCACCGGTGGCAACATCGATATATCGTTCAGCGAGCGAAGGCGGGCGCAAGTTGTACACGAAGTCGGTGCTGCTAGTGCTGTGGGTAGACGCGGCACTATCACCAACCCACCAGTCGGGACGTCCAGACGCCGACAGCAAAGTGGGGACAGGGGCCGGCGGATACGCTACAGGGTGACGGTGTTGGCAGAAAACGTGAAGAGCATTACGATCGGGGGGGGGACCTACCGGCTCTACTGTGCCGTACGAACCGGCATGACCATCCCTTCCTACTCCATCAACGCATTCACCCTCACCGCCACTGACCTGTGTATCCACGCCGGAAGCACCCCCCCACGCGCGGCCCTCCTGCTGTTGCAGCTGCTGCTGGGGCTCGTGCTGCCCAATACCCACAGAAAACCGGACCCCACTACCGGCTCCACCCACCGAGCCAAGCTGCTTTTCCGGCTGCTGCTGCTGGGGCACACCACCATAGCCGCTGACGCCGGAACCCTGCCATGGCCGCACACCTCCGCTGGAACCATCCTGATGTACCACGGCAAGGTGCCGCTGCGGAAGAGGCGCCGACACGGGCCAATGGTGCGCTATCGACCCGTCTACACAACTTGCCGAATACCCCGGCTCCGCGCTGTTGAGATGGGATGCTGGGGGAAAGGCTGCTGCGAGAAAGGCTGGTAAGGTGGGGGCATTACGGCGTTGAGGTGAGGTGCCTGAGACGTGTTGGCCGCCGCGTGTTGGCGCGGCGGCTGCTGCAGATTGTTGGACGTGTTCAATTTGCAGTTGCGCGCCGTGTGACCGGGTTCACCACAAATAGAACACCTACCATAAAATCGCGGAGGAGCCTGGCAGATGATGGCCGTGTGCCCGACATGACCGCAGCGACCACACATGGGCACGGCGCACATCGGTGATCCCGGGGGAATGGGGGACGCCTCCTGCGGCCACGTTGCGTTCCGCCCGGGGTCCCTGGGACCACCCGGAACGAAGCCCATCGCCATCGCGGGAGTGAACTGCTAGGGTTGCTGCTGCTGCTGGGGCTGCTGCTGCTGAAACGACTGCTGCGGCAAATGCTGAGGGAATCTCCGTTGATACTGCTGCTGCGGCGCCTGCTGATGAAACGACTGTTGCGGCTGCTGCTGCTGCGGGCGATAGCCCCCGTTGTACTCTCCCTGAGTTCCCCCTCCCCACCCCGGCTGCTGCTGCCCATCTCTACCCTGTTGTCTGCCTTGGGAAAACCCACCGGTCCTCCGCTGCGGACCACCACCGCCGCCGCCGCCGCCGCCGCCGGTACCGTTGGGCCGTGAATTTCCGCCGAAACGGAGAGCGTGCGGGTCGCCAGCCGGCGCGGCCGTCCGCTGCGCACGATCACCGAGATTTTTCTCAACGTGGTGGCTACGCACAAGAATCTCCAAGCTTCTGCGTGTGAGCGTGTGATCATGCATGAGCACGGTCTTGACCTGTTCGTAGTCTGCCGAGAGGCTTCTACGTAAAGTCGCAAGGACCTCACTTTCCGGGATTTCATAACCGTTGACAGCGCGAAGCGTATTCAGCACTTTGTTAAACCTCAGAAAGTAGTCTTGCGGGTCCTCTCCGAGCTGCATCTTCATGTTAGCGAGAGACAACTTCAGGGCCTCCTTCTCAGAGCTACTCATCGGAAGACAAAACTCCTGGGCAGCCTCCCATGCCCCCGACACATTCCCTACAGCAAGAATTGTCGATTGGAATTTCGCCCCCTTCGTGGCTCGCCTCAAGTAATCGAAAGCACGCTCGTGATCACGCACACGCTTCTCACTGTGGAATCTGATGTTCTCGCTCCTGGAGGTGTGGATGAGCCAGATGCGTTGATCAGGACTCGCCAGCGGAGTGAGTATGTGCCCAAGATCTTCGCCGGCGAGGAAGACCTCGAATATCGTCTTGAAGAGCGGGAAGTTGCCGTCGTACACTGGTG